TTTTTCTAAAACGTTTAACATATGGATCATAAAATCGATGCATTGTAGGTCAGCTCCAATGTGGCTTTTAACATTATAAAAAATCAACTATATCATCAATTTTTGAAAGTGTGTTTCCAATTCTCCAATGCATCTTGTCATGAACTCTTTCATTATGAGGTGCATGACATTTAATGTTACAATTTCCATCACACTTTCTAATATTTAGCACCATGTTAATGAGTCATCAATTTACTTAATATTTGGTTTAATTTTTAATGTTTCTTGTATCAATGAATTATTTTAATTGGTTTACCTATACAAATAATTACTTATCAAATTGATACTAGTTTGATTCAAAATTTGAACCTTTTAACATTATTTCTATTTGGATTAACATTAAAATCATTGATTGACATGTGTTTAAAATTATTGTTTTTCAAAGCCATAACTTTGGAGATGTTCTTAGGACATTGAACTCTAATATATGTGGTAAAAATAACATATAATAAAATATTTTAAAACTCGTACAATTGCCAACATAGTGTGCACTATAAAACTCTGACGTGGTCGAATTAATTTTTGACGTGACTGGATCACATTTATATACTATGTTGGTAATTGTACAAGTTTTGGTTAAAGTGGCGATATAGTGAATCATTTTGTATGACGCCCGATACGAGACCTTTTTTTTTAAAAAAATGATCAACATAATATACTAAAATTAAAATTTTGTCTTCAAACTCTAGTATGGTAAGAGTAACATAATCAGACAAATTCAATTTTACCAATTAATAACAACAAAGAGAGAGGTGGTAAATTCATAATAAAGTCAACTAAAATAGTGTTCTTCAAACACAAATAGACCAAATTTGTTATGACATGACTCGGAGTGCAGAACAAGGGATTCCACGATCTAACAAAAAAACAAGTAAATATATATATTAGAATAATTCAATGAAATTTCGTTGGAATTTATTTCAACGTTCAGAAAAATAGCCGTTAGAATTATACACATAAAACGAAAAATTTCAATGAAATTCTATTTCCAACAGGATATAATTCTTTTTTTTTTTGGTTTTCGTTGCAAAATTCCAACCGAGTAATATATATCATAGGAGTAATCCATCAAAATTGCTTTTGGAAATTCATTGAAATATATTTTCATTGAAAACCATCACTTTCTTGTAGTAGTCAATATAATGAGTCAAGTTTAAAAGCCAACATAGCACTTTGCCCATACAACTTTGCAAAGAATGAACTTAACCAGTTTTCGGTCATTGTCAGGAATTTCTAAGGGCAAAATTGACTTTCAGTCATTCATCCAGTTTATTGTAATTTAAAAATTACACATTACCCACCCTCTTATACGTTTTTGTGCACTTTATAACCCACTCAACCTTTTTTTTTTCATTTACACTTTGCCCATAGAAATGGCCGGACGGTGACCGGAAATTAGTTAAGTACAAGTTTTTAGAATGTTATATAAGCAAAGTGTCTAAAAACAAGTTGAGTGGGTAAAGTATAAAAATCCTATAACTAGGTGGGTTACGTTAGTTTTCCCTAATAAATATTAAACTAGTACTAACACCTCCGTGTATTACATGGGTGTTTGTTAAAAAGTTATTATTAAATTAAAAAATCTATCTTAGCCTAATAACGAAGCATGTAATTTTGCCACATAAGATCTCGAAGCATGCAAGCCTGCCACGTAGGCTCAACACATTCTGAATTAATATATAGAGGGAATATCTTACTTATTACAATTTGAGGAGTTGAATTTGTGGCCAGCTTGGCAGGTTCCTTTCCATCGTTTTGGTACGACATCCATCCCTTCATCATTGAAGCTTTCAGATTCTGGCCAAATACCTATTGAAACACCAAAGTTATATATATATATATACATATATATATATATATTAAGTGGTTCGTTTTCTGATACACTCCTTGTACATATGATTAAACTCATTCAACTCAATACGAGATTTTTTTTTCTTAATATGTAAATTTACCCGAGTCAAGCATGCCAATAATGATGTCCTTGCCATATCCAGATTTGTATAACAAAGAGTTTTTATCAATATTGCTTGAATTTGTCGACTCTTGTAAGGCCGAAAACTCCCATGACCTCGTCGTGTGCAATGCGTATTTTCCCGGATGACTCTGAAACACCGACACAACCTCCTCCCTTTCTATTATAATTCGGTACAGACATCACACGTTAACACGCACACACATTGTTCGCATACACGAGAGTAGAAAAATAAACTTAAAATTCAGTTTTTAGCTCACCCGAAATATCCGAAGCTTCTTGTTGGGTAAGAAAAGCGGCAAAGCCATTAATACTGTTTTTGTAGCTGTAAATAAGAGAAGATTTTGCATCTTCCTCAGTTTCCTTCACAGAGAACAAATACGAGTGATGGTTTTCTTCTATCTCTTGGTGGGTTTTATCTCCATGATGCTCCCCGAGGTACACGATGTATACCTATGAATAATAATAAATATAACTATACGACATTGTTTTGCATATAACATAAGATTAACAAACGATAGTAACTCTTGCTTTGGAAAAAAATTTCAAACCTGTCTATCCTTAGTAGAGGAAGCCAGAAGAAGAGGAAAAAGAAGAAAAAGAAACTGCAGAAAAAGGAATAAGTTACAATTGTCCATAGTTGGAAAAGAAGCTTATTTTTAGGAGCTACCGAATATTGAATGAGTCCACTAGCTGGATATATATATAGGGACATTTTGGAATGTAACCATGTTGAATGTTTTAACTTTCAACTGTATATAATTGGAAAAATGTTAATTTAGTCGAGCACATGTTCGATCAATAATTTAGTCGAGCACATGTTTTAACCATCTCTTTTGGTCGAGCACCTACACCCAACATTTCCACTACAAGAAAATAATAAAATTCCAACGGAAATCTATTCCTAAAAAATTATTCCAACGACAATTCCAACAGATATTTCAATACTACTTTCCATTGGAATTTTTCAATGCATTCCAACGGACATTCCAACAAAAATATTCTGTTGGAATGAGTTTTCCATTGGAATTTCCGTTGGATTTTGACATTCCAACGGTGGATTTTCCAACGGAAATTCCTACGGTAAAAAGCCGTTGAAAATATAGTCGTTGTAATCATCAAATTCCATCTAAAATTCCAATGAAAAACACATTCCAACGGAATATTTCTGTTGGAATTTCTGTTGGAACCATTCCAACGGAAGCTATACCATTGGAATATCCGTTGGAATTTCCATTGAAATATATTACCATAGGATTTTCCGTTGGAATATAACAATTATTTTGTAGTGTTCTTACCTAAAGTTTTTGTTTACCTATTAATTTTACTTAACAAAAAATTTATGCACATGTTCGATCAATATTCCGTCGACGGCGACGTTGAGGTGAAATACTTCGGACGAGGTGAGCCGGGGATACAGGGTTTTTCACGGTAGTGAGACCGAGACGACGACACATCGTTGGCCGCGACTGTCCATGATGCTCGCCTCCATATCCACCGTAGGGCCTTTGCGAAGGTGTTGGAACTCCCCTTTCGTTTTGACGTCGACGTCTCGATCGAGGAGACCCTGGGCTCCCTTAGGTTCATCACCGCCGCTGACAACCTCGACAACGAGGTCTGCCCCGTCCCTGATGAAAGCCCTACCGCCATACAACCGAGGAAGAACTCCTGTGACAGCGGCAAATGGAGTCACCTATTCTTGGAAGGCCACAATCTGCCCCTAAATCTGAGAACTGACTTTTTTAAAAAAAATAGGGTTTTCACCCTTTGGGGAAGGAGAGAAAAATTGAAGAGACAAAACCGGTTCTCCAACTCAACTGACGGGGACATAACGGAAGTTTGAAAATACGTAATGGTGTTATCACTCAGACACAAGTTGGGGAGCGTCAGCTGGCCAACACTTAATACAAGGGGGTTTGACGCAATTTTTAAATTACAAGGGGAAAACGTGAACATTTAGTATAATTCAGTGGGATTGATACTAGTTCATTTAAAAAAAAACATTAAATATAATTGAACGGTTGGACCATAATAATATAGAATATTTTATGAATTTAAAAACAAAATATAATTTATATTCTACAATTCTTATATTCTACAATTCTTATATTTATCAACTATTATAGTTGATAAATATAAGAAATGTAGAATCATGTCCCAATTCCCATACATTCATATAGCCTAGTGGTGGTGTTACCTCTTTAACATGCAAGAGGTCTTGAGTTCAAGTCCTAGTGTTGTGAGAATCCGTCAGTAATTTGTTGGAAAAAAATTTGTTGGTCATCTGTTGGAAAAAAAAAAAAAAATCATTGGTAATCCGTTAGGAAAATTTCGTCCGTTGAAAAAATTCCGTTGGTAATCCGTTAGGAAAATTCCCTTGGTAATCTGTTGGGAAAAAATCCCTTGGTAATTCGTTGGGAAAAAATATCCGTTGGAAATCAGTTGTTAAAAATTCGTTAGCAATCCGTTGCAAAGAATTCGTTGGCAATATGTTGGAAAAAATTTGTTGGTAATCGGGTTGGAAAAATTTGTTCGTAATCTATTGGTATATCCGTAACTAATATGTTGGCTTTCTGTTAGTAATTTGCCAACAGAATGATTTAAGCAACTCCATTTTCTGTTGAAAATTCATTGGCAATTTCATGAAGCATTTCTGTTTCAAATTTGTTGGTAGTCCATTGAGAATTTTCCCAACAGATTGTATTTTCCGTTGACAAAAATTAGTGACAAACTATATAGCAATAAGAAAATCTGTTGATAAGCTATTGTCATTCTGTTTAGAAATTTGATTACCAATGAATTATTCCGTTGATAAAACTCATATTTCACGTGTTTGAGTAGTGTAATTTGAATATATTAGCTATTAATTATGAAAAGTGACTAGTGTACGACTTTTTTTGACTTTACTCATTAAAACAATGGCATGCGTTGAATCTCAAAATCATATCTGAAATATTCAATCGGACAATAGTTACAATAGTCTCTGCCTCAAATATAAAAATGTTTTATGAACTCGATAATCATGCATGAACTTGCGGGCCCGATATCAACAGCTAAAAACATGTAAATTAGGTCAATTCAATTTTATTTTTTCAAAGAATAACGTTAAATAACGACCTTGAAAACACAATTCTCATGTAAAAGACCAAAA